AATTCTTGAGAAAGTAGTTGCCAAACAAGTGTGCGATCACTTCCACCATAATTAACTTTTTGAAGAGTTTCAGTCTGGCTGAAAGGAAGATACTAATGCCCATTTGTGAAAAACAAAACAGACTTAGAATGAAATAAAATGTGTTTTTTTTTATCTGTTATCCATGCTGGGGAAAAGCACTGCTGTATTTGTCAGTTACTCCCTTTCATTGCCATGGTGCTATACTTTATAGCATCATGTTTTACCTCCATGAAGGAAGGACTAAGCTTCAGAAAAAGGCGCCTTTATTAGCTGTCCTGTGTGGCCATCTAGTGGACATAATCAACTTATTTTAGGCACTTCCTAAAGGAAGCATCACCATAAGCCTCAGACAGGAGGACCACGTTTTAAGAAGACTTTTTTTTAACAATACAGCTGTAATATAATCTTACTTTGATTTATTTTTATTGCTAAAGCTGTACTTTTTTTTGCTTATTTAAAGGGATTGGAAGAAGGAATAAAGGTATCTGTTGTATCCCAGGGTTGTTTAACCAGTATTATGACATGGTAGAAAACTGGTCAAATAAAGAATACACACTCTTATGTAAAATATGTAAATCCCTTTATTGTCCCACAATGGGGAAATTCTCTCTCTGCGTTTAATCCATCTCCTTGGGAAACAGTGGGGTGCAATCGTGGGGCACCCGGGCAGCAGCATCGAACCGGGTACTTGCAACCCTCTCAGAGCACAAGTGCACTGCTCTCATCACTAGGACATCATTCCCCCTCCTATAAAGAGGCTTGTACTCTGAGCATAGAAAAAAAGAATGTACTCTAATTTCCCAAGAGGAGATCTTACTCCAGAAAGCCTGGCAGAGGGAGGCTTGAGTCCAAGATATGATCCTGCAGCCATGATTCAGTAAAACACATAAAGCTTCTTTACTGCTATTCCTACTGGCCTTGCTAAGCCTTCTCTCTTCTAACTTGTTTTCCAAAGATCTCAGATAGCCTGTAATGACTAATGGAAGATTTTACTTTCATTTTTTCTTCCTCTCTCATCTTCTTGCATCCCCAGTGCCTCCTTTTAGACTCAGCTGGTACTTAAGAAAGTAGTTAAAGTATTACTACAGCTTCAGCATTCTTTTCTTTTCTATTCTATTCTATTCTATTCTATTCTATTCTATTCTATTCTATTCTATTCTATTCTATTCTATTCTATTCTAT